CAAAGGAATAAAATTAAAATTGAACACGAAGAGAAACAATAGAAAATCTAAAAATATGTAAAAATTGAACAATATACTCCTGAATGAGCAATGGATCATTTAAGAAATCAAAAATGATATCAAGATATTTATTTATTTATTTATTTGCAAGGCAGAGCTACAGACAGGGAGAGTGATAGATAGATAAGAGAGAGAGAGAGAGAGGCCCAGAAAAAAATTCCCATCTTTTTGGCTAACTCTCAAAATAGCTGCAAAGCCCTGATCTTGAGCCAAAGCCAGGAGCAGTGATCTCAATCCAGACCTCCCATGGGGATACAGGTATCCAACTATCACTTATCAGGGTGCACATTAGCAAGAATTTCTAATCAAGAGCAGATGAAGGATTCAAATCTGGGCAATCCAAGTGTCTCAACCTGTACCCTAAGGCTAAGGCACTCAGCTCTTACTTCTTAATATAACTTCTTCATATTAAGTACTTTTAAATTTTCATTTATTGATTTATTTAGCAATTTATTTACATTCAAAAAGGGTTTTAGGGGCCAGTGCTGTGGCGCAGTAGGCTAATCCTCCTCCTGTGGCGCCGGCATCCCATATGTGTGCCAGTTCTAGTCCCAGTTGCTCCTCTTCCAGTCCAGCTCTCTGCTACGGCCTGGGAAAGCAGTGAAAGATGGCCCAAGTGCTTGGTCCCCTGCACCCTTGTGGGAGACCGGGAGGAGACACCTGGCTCCTGGCTTCGGATCTGCGCAGCTCTGGCCATTGCGGCCACTTGGGGAGTGAACCAACGGAGGGAGGACCTTTCTCTCTGTCTCTCTCTCTCACTGTCTGTAACTCTGGCTGACAAATAAATAAAATCTTTTAAAAAAGGGTTTTTTTTTTTTTTTACATTTCTATAGTCAGAGCTTCAACTTTTCTAAGTTATTCATGATACTAATTTTTTCTGATTAATAACCTGGATCTCAGAAAGAAAACTTAGGGGCCAGTGTTGTGGGACAGCAGGTTAAGCTGCTGCCTGTGATTCCAGCATCCCGCATGAGCACGGGTTAGTCACAACTTTTCCACTTTGGACCTAGCTTTCAGCAGAAGATTGGCTCCTGCCAATGAATGTGGGAGACTTAGATGGAATTCCAGGCTCCTGGCTTCTGCCTGGCCAAGCCCTCCCCATATGGCCATTTGGAGAGTATGACAGGTTTAATACTGCTATCCTTAGAAAGACCTGTTGGAAATATCAGATCTTTGTTGAAATACAAGAACCTTCATTTAGGGATGGTTTCCAAATTTAACTGGTAAGAATAGATCAGGTTTTGCTTATGGTTTAAGATTTACTATAGCAAAAGATTACAAATTAATCAGCAAAGGTAAATAGTAAATCAGGTAAAGTTTATAAGAAATCAGGCATGAACTTCCAAGAATCTTATCTCATTGAAGTAAAACAGAACATTTTTTTACAGGCAGAGTGGACAGTGAGAGAGACAAAGAGAAAGGTCTTCTTTTCCATTGGTTCACCCTACAATGGCCACTGCGGCCGACGCGCTGTGGCCGGTGCACCGCGCTGATCCGAAGCCAGGAGCCAGGTGCTTCTCCTGGTCTCCCATGCGGGTGCAGGGCCCAAGCACTTGGGCCATCCTCCACTGCACTCCCTGGCCACAGCAGAGAGCTGGACTGGAAGAGGGGCAACTTTTAATTCCTCCAGGATTAAACTGCTACAATCCTATGAAACATTGTCTCTCAGGAAAACCACCTAGATATTCACTCAAAATTTTTGATTAGGAGCCAACCATGTATGTATTCACTGTTTAATCATGTACCAAAATTCCAGACTTCCAGATGTAAATCAGGTTTTTAGTATACACCACATTGTATGATTCAGATACAATCAGCCATTCTTTGTCCCATGAGTTCTCCTTGCGAATCTCAGAAACTTGGGGTGGTATTTGAGATCCCCAACACATCCAGTGTTTCACAGAGCCTACACTAGCCATTAATGCATATTTGGCTGACATAAGATATAAGAATTACTTAACTATGTAATTTTGCCAGACCTACAGGATTTTCTCATTCCTGAAAGTGTTTTCCAAAGATACCTATAGGGTCATCTGGTCATAATTGCTTATGTCCTTTTCTCAATTCTGCTAGTGATATACTCTCATCTACTCACAACACCTACTCTCAATGTTAATAATTATGGTTTCTGCAATTATGCAATTATGCATTCATATTTAGTGACAAATATCATGTTTTCTCTGATATGTGGCAGTTAATATAGAATAACAAGATACACAGGAATGAAATGGTCATTTTGGGATATGATTGTCGTTTTTAGCCCTTGTTTATGCTCATGCGGAACTGTTGTCTTCCTACTTTTTACTTGCTATTATGATTAGTTAATTAATTCTGTGACTATGGGCAGGCACTGTGGTGTAGCCGGTAAAGCCGCCACCTGCAGTGCCGTCAACCCATATGGGCGCCAGTTTGTGTCCCAGCTGCCCCACTTCTGATCCAGCTTTCTACTACTGCCCAGGAAAGCAGTAGAAGATGGCCCAAGTCCTTGGGCCTCTGCATCCATGTGGGAGACCTGAAGAAGCTCCTGGCTCCTGGCTTCGGATTGGCTTAACTCTGGCCATTGCTGCCATCTGGGGAGTGAACCAGTGGATGGAAGATCTTTCTAACTCTCTCTGCCTCTGTCTTTCACTAACTCTGCCTTTCAAATAAATAAATAAATCTTAAAAAAATTTCTGTGACTAAAAAAAAAAAAAAGAAAAAAAAAAAGAAATTATCAAGTCCCAACTTGACTCTTACTGGGATTAAACATGACAATAGGTCTGCTCTGATTTCATCATCATTTAAAAAAACATCTATTATTTTTCACTTTATGTTTCTGTGTGGGAGCAAACTGTTGAAATCCATACTTGATGTATACTAAGCTGATCTTCTGTAAAAAAAAAATTTCTGTGACTATAGAGTGGACTAAATTAGGGACTTGCAAAAACTGATGAAGAGAAGAGAGGGAGAGGGGAGGATTGGGAGGGAGCAGGGGGTGAGGGAAGTGTGATTGTCTTCTTGAAACTTGAAACTGTACCTGTGGAATGCATGGAATCTGTTCTCTTTGTATTAATAGTAATTTAAAAATTATGGTTTCAGGTATTCCTTTTTTTTTTTTTTTTTGACAAGTAGAGTTACAGTGAGAGAGAAAGGTCTTCCTTCCATTGGTTCACTCCCCAAATGGCCACCACGACCGGCGCTGTGCTGATTCGAAGCCAGGAGCCAGGTGCTTCCTCCTGGTCTCTCATGCAGGTGCAGGGGCCCAAGCACTTGGGCCATCCTCCACTGCCCTCCCAGGCCACAGCAGAGAGCTGGACTGGAAGAGGAGCAACCAGGACTAGAACCGGCACCCATATGGGATGCTGGCACCACAGGTGGAAGATTAACCAAGTGAGCCACGGTGCCGGCCCCCTGGTATTCCTTTTAAAAAAGGACTTATTTGTTTTATTTGAAAGACAGAGTGATGGGAGGAATAGAGAGAAAGAGAGGGAGAGGGAGAGGGAGAGGGAGAGAGATATATTTCATCTTCTAGTTCACTCCTCAAGTAGCAACAATAGCCAGGCATGGAACAGGCCAAGGCTAGGAGTCTATAATTCCTCCCAGGTCTTCCACATAAATGGCAGGGACACAAGTACTTGGGCCATTATTCAGAACCATATAGGTGTATTACCAGGATGCTAGATCAGAAGCAGAGTAACTGGGACTCTCTTCAGAACTCTAGAATGGGATTCAAGTATCCGAAACAGCAGCTTAATCTCTTGTGCCACAAAGCTCACTCTCACTCCTCTGGTATGCTTTCTTCTGTTCCCAAGACTTTGATATATAACAATGGTAATGACTTAAGTCCATTTATACTTGAATTCTCATCAGAAAAACCCCTATATCATGGTATTAATTTGAGGCTAATAATTGGCTTCTAAACTTATTTGGGGGGTCATTGATCAATGACCTAAAGAACATTCTTGGATCTTTTATTCTATCCTCTTATCAGGCAGAGTCTTTACATGTTTTAACATATTATTTAATCCTGAAATCCTAAATTAACAGTCTTAGAATGTTTATAAAATGAATATTCAACATTTTAAAAAAAGCCTGTGAATAAAAGCAGGATTGCACATAGCAATTTAATAGTCTTTGATATTCTACAAAAGGCTGCCTAATGGTTCAACAGATATGTCTGCCCCATCTTCCTGAATTACCTTACTCAGTGTCACATAGAAGCAAATGGATGATGATAGCAATACAAAAATGAATGTCATGTTCCATACCTTCCCCCAAATAAATGGAGATCAATTATTTACATACCACGTCTGACAATCCCAATGTATGAGTAAAAATGTAAATAATTTAGGTAATATTTACTCATTTGAGTATTTATCTGAGCCTTCAAATTCAGTAAACCAGTTCAGTTCTTTATGGTTTATGCTTCATTTCTCACTATTTTTTTCTGGATGAACTAAGCTCTATTTTCAGTAAATGTTACCCATCATCATTAGGAGATTTCAAATGATAGATGCACCAATTTTCCTAGAAAGATTATAAAGGAAATCCAAGAAACATATCTGTCTCTCTCCCTCCCTCCCTCCCTTCCACCCTCCCTTCCAAATGGGTAAAATAAATCCTTTAAAAAATGGGGCCAGCATTTTGGTGCAATGGGTTAAGCCACCTGCTTGCAATGCCAACATCCCATATCTAAGCAGCAGATTGAGTCCTAGTTACTCTGCTTCTGATCCAGGTCCCTGCTAGTGTGCCTAGGAAATAATGTTATTTATCTGGGAAAAATATATGAATACACAAATACATGCAGATAAATAACAATACAAATTCTGAAAGTCATATAGAAAATAAGCCATGTGGCAAACTGAAAAAAAAATCACTAAATTATATACTATATAATGTTGTAAAAGCTGGCATTATTTGGTATTATTTAATACCATATATTATGAAGTACACAACAGAATAGTTAATTGCAGGTTTTACCTGATGACTGAAGTCCCTCTTGTTATATTGTCACAATTTAAGGCACATTTACATCGCGGTTTCTTCAATGGAGAGAACCTTTTATTTTGTCTCAACATTAGTTATTATAGAATTGGTCTAACAAGTAAATTTTCTTTCAGTTCCATAGAAGTATAGTGTCATTTCAATTTGGAACATGGCTGTTGATTGCAAATGAAAAACAAAAAATGCTAGCATCATTTACTGCTTGATTTGACAGATATTTCTTGCAGTTATAGTTTGTCTTCATAGATAGAAATAAATAAAAATGGATGGTAAATATTTGTGATGTTAACATATCCTTAATAGCGTGTTCATTGCTCATCTTAATTGTGTTTAAATTAAATAAGCATTTCAAGTTTTCAAAATGCTAGTATATTCATACTGATAAGATTATAAGTTTCCTGTATTTTCTGATGACATAAACAGGAAGTTACAGAAAATATATAAAGGGAAGTTCAGAACAACACTATCCAAATTCATTACCACTTGTTCTTCATCCTTTTCAAAAGTCAGGATTTTATAACCAGTTGTTTTGCTGAAGCTTAGATTCCCACTAGAATCGAAATATGCCAAGGTTAATCTGAAGGCAATATTTCGTATACATTGTGTACAGGCAGAACCCTCACATAGCTGCCTGAAAGTATTTTGTTTGAAAATTATATAATGGCTGGTAAAGATGACGTGTAAAGGAAAGCCGAAGTTGTAACCTGACCACTTCCAGGAGTATCTTCCATCCTTGACAATCCTTTTACCACATCTCATGCTATACCCTTCAAGTTCTGCTTTATTGATGTGTCGAGGCCCAATTTCCCTGCACTGCTGTGCTCGTAGGAAGGAAAGCCATTTTTTTTTGTAAACAGTTGATAACCATTCTGAAGGTATTAGATTATCTCGTTCAATAACTTTTGTGGCTGCCAGGTCACAGATGATATGCTGAAACCTCAATGTTTTAAATACTGGTTGAAATATTATTCCTTCGTTTGTTTCAAGAAAAGTGATGTTATCGACTTGTTCACTATACTTGGAAAGCCAGTTGTTAGCAGTGACTAAAAGGTGTTTCATTGAGCCTTTCCACGCTGGGTTGAAGCGAAGGAACACCCACTCTTTAAGAGTCGTGTATACATCCATTTCTTTTTGCATTACTAGTAAATTGGGAGACGAGATGAGAAGATTCATGAGCTCTATATCAATTTCTTTGTAAAGCTCGACACTTGGCTGTGTCATCAAATTGTGGAGAAGCCATTCAAAACAAGTTTGCTTTACAGAATCTAACCCATATGTTTCTGCTGCTGCATAATAACGACACACAGTTTTCGCACTGATTGTTTCCTTCATGGTCTCATCACATTGCTGAATTAAATCCTCTAATTGAAGCAAGTATGCAACAGCCAGAACTCCTGGAATTTGAAGGGGCTCAATTGAAATATATTCGTCCCTGTATAATGAACCAAGTACAAAATGCAAAGATTGTACATCTATGTTCTGGTCACAAATGTCCAGCTCAATAATATCATTTTGTGATTCTTCCCAACAATCTCTGATTATATTAGCAAAGTAACCTGATTGCTGTAGGAACATTTTGTGTAAACACCATACCTTCCCCAGAGCACGGATTTTAATGTCACTGGTTTCCCCATTCAAAAATAAACGTCGGTAAGCACAGTTGGATATGATCTTAGCTTTCTTCCCATAGCGTGTGTTGGAGACTTCGTGTAGATTGGTTCCCTGGTTTAGAGATCTGTGGGTTTCAGACATTGGACCCAAGGAGGGCCCACTGCCCTGCTTACGCTTGCGACTGCCACAAATATAGCTGGGGCCTGCCTGTTCTTCTGGCGGCTCCGGATCCACTGTTTGCGTTTCTCTCCATTGCAAGATGTGGCTGCTCAGCTGTCCCATAGATAAAGGCTCCCAGCACCCTCGGAAGAATCCCTTGTAGAGAAGTTCTCACGTTAGCATTGCTGTGGCCTACACCATTGCCCAGGCTCTAGTTTCACTGGGATGCTTTGACGCAATGACCAACGTCACACAGGAAGCCCACATTCTTTATTGTCTGCCTCACTCCGCCTACCCTGTAGCCCCGCCCACTGCCACCATCTCTTTGGGTCGAGCCACTCTCTATTCCCTCGAGATTTAAACTTCAGGATTTCCCTCAAAAATAATTTTGATTCAGGGAAGTGACCAACTCAAAGCCTTGTAGATCTGTGATAAAGGTTGTACACATCCACACGCCCACCGCTGGTATCTGAGCGAATCTTCTAAACTGTCAGCAGTATTGAATGTAATAATTTACCAAAAGCTTTTAAACATTTAACAGGTGGACAATAGTGCCACGTTATTTTATTATTCATCTTTGATTACTAGAGGAGGAAACACATTTCACATATATAGATACATGTTTTTAGGTATATATGAATTTTCAAAGGGGATATGTCTTCACATTCTTTGCCCAAATGCAACATTATGTATATTTTCTTATTGGTTGCTAAAAATTATTTATAATATAAAGATATTTAGCCAGTGTCTATCATACACAAAGGGTTGTAAAAATATTTTTTCAACAATTTCATTTATCATTTAAATTTTTATGAGATCAGTTGTTGTAAAGACATAATTTTGAAAAAGTCAAACTAGATCTTCTTAGAACTGTACCTATGAAGTACATGAAATCTCTTAATATTAAAAAATTTAAAAAGATTTTCCAACTACAATTGTTTTTATCTGTGCTTAGAAAGACTTATGTTATCTGAAATTAAATATATTTTAGATTTCCTCAATAAATTTCAGTTTTATTTAATTGTTTTTGAAACCTAAATTATTTTTACCATTTTTATTTTAAAAGCTTTGAATAATACAGAAAAGGGTAAAAGGAGTTCACTGAGCACACATATATTTAAAAACTTTTCCTATTTTGCTATATTCACTTAAAATGTAAATATTATATATATACATATATATATATACACACATACATACTATTTTTCTCGAGACCAGGAATATTACATCACAAAATATGGGATACTTGCAAAAGAACACAAAATGAGAGACTAAGGGTATATTATTGGCTAAGTGGTATAACACAAGTCGACATTTAAAAATCTATATCTTTTGTGGCCGGCACTGTGGTGTAGTGGGTAAAGCCACTGCCTGCAATGCCGATCATCCCATATGGGTGCCGGTTTGAGTCCTGGCTGCTCCGCTTCTGATCCAGCTCTCTGCTATAGCCTGGGAAAGCAGTAGAATATGGCCCAAGTCCTTGGGCCCCTGTACCCATGTGGGAGACCTGGAAGAAGCTCCTGGTTCCTGGCTCGGATTGGCGCGGCTCTGGCTGTTGCAACCAATTGGGGAGTGAACCAGCAGATGGAAGACCTCATGTTCTCTCTCTGCCTCTCCTTCTCTCTGTGTGTAATTCTGCCTTTCAAATAAATAAAAATAAATCTTTAAAAAAATCTATATCTTTTATGTTTTACTATTTTTTTCATAGAGATTTTTCACTTGCTTGGTTAAATTTATTTCAAGATGTTTTGGGTTTTCTTTTTTGTAGCTTTTACTATTGGAAATGATTGAAGAAGTTCTTTCTTAGCCATGGCATTGTCTGTGTATACAAAGGCTATTGACTTATGTTTGTTAATTTTATATCCTGCAACATTACCAAACTCTTATGAGTTGTAGTATTCTCTTGGTGAAGTCCTTTGGTTCCCCCTATATATAGAGTCATGTCATCTGCAAACAAGGACAGTTTGACTGCCTCTTTTCCAACTTATACCCCTTTGATTTCTTTTTTTTCTTATGACTCTTGCTAAAACATCCAGAATTATATTGAATAGCAATGTTGAAAGTGGACATGCTTGTCTGGATCTGGATCTTAGTAGAAATGATTCCAACATTTCCCTACTCAATATGAAGAAGGCTGTGGGTTTGTTGTATATTGCCTGGATTGTTTTGAGAAAATTTAGTTCTATACCCAATTGTCTTAAGTTTTATTTTTAACCATGGAAGGATGCTGTATTTTATCATCTGTGTTCTCTTCATTTATGGAGATAATCATATGGTGTTTATTCTTCAATTTGTTAATGTGATGTATCACATTTATTGATTTGCATATGTTGAACCATCCTTGCATACCAGGGATAAATTCCACTTGCTCCAGGTCAGTGGTCTTTCTGATGTGTTGTTGGATTTGATTAGGTCAAATTCTGCAGAAGATTTTTGCACCTATATGCAGCAGCAGTATTGATTTTTATAGTTCTCTTTCTTTGTTGTGTCTTTTCCTGGTTTTGGAAGTAAAGAGATGCTGGCCTCATAGAAGGAGTCTTGGAGGAATCCTTCATTTTCTTTTTTTTTAAGATTTATTTTATTTATTTGAAAGACAGAGTTACAGAGAGAGGTAGAGACAGAGAGAGAGGTCTTCCATCCACTGGTTCACTCCCCAGATGGCTGCCAACGGCCGGAGCTGCGCCGATCCGAAGCCAGGAGCCAGGAGCTTCTTCTGGGTCTCCCACGTGGGTGCAGGGGCCCAAGGACCTGGGCCATCTTCTACTGCTTTCCCAGGCCATAGCAGAGAGCTAGATTGGAAGAGGAGCAGCCAGGACTAGAACTGGCACCCATATGGGATGCTGGCGTTTCAGGCCAAGGTGTTAACCCACTGTGCCACAGCGCTGCCCCCCCCCCCCATTTTCAATTGTTTTGAATTGTCTGAAAAGAAACAGATTTAGTTCTTTCATGATCTGGTAGAATTTAGCAGTGAAGTCATCTAGTTTTTTTTTTAACTTTTATTTAATGAATATAAATTTCCAAAGTACAGCTTATGGATTACAATGGCTTCCCCCCCATAACGTTCCTCCCACCCGCAACCCTCCCCTTTCCTACTCCCTCTCCCCTTCCATTCACATCAAGA